AAGAAAGAACAACTTGTGCAAATACAGTGAATTCTCTCTTTGACCAGCTGTGTTTTTGTGTGTTTCTGACAAAGGAGCTATTACCGGTGCACGCATCACACGTGCAATGTGAAGAAGCAGATACAAAGGCTGTCAAAGGATACTGGTATTGTTGTGACAACTTACGAAGGCATTCATAATCATCCCTCAGAAAAACTAATGGAAACACTGAGCCCCCTTCTCAAGCAGCTTCAGTTCCTGTCCAGATTCTGAAGAAAATCGAGCTTAATATGAAGATGAAGTTGTACAGAAACTGTACAAAATTCTCCCAAACTGTACAAAAATTGTAAGCGATAGGCAGACACAAATGCTGCCAAGGGAGAATGTAACATCTGTGTTGTGTGATCATGTCCCCTGCTCTTATTCTCAATAGGGTGTAGAATTAGCAAAAATTAATGGTTTAATCGATCATTGAATTGTCAGGACGTAGTTAAAACTACAAATCTGCCCTGCAGTTAGAAAAACAACTTTTCTTATGAAGCTTACGAATATCCACTTGACGTATGCAACTGCCATTCGAACGCTCATTGAGAGCATACTTTTGGATGCATACAAGAAAGTGTCAGCACGCGTTCATAAGCATAAAAGATAAATGGGTTTCTTGTAACTAAGCTAACCTCATGGCTAGATTAAATTATGTGATTAACCCTAACTATAAGGCAAATCATAATATCCCATCCCTTCAGGATGAGCAGAAGCTACTAATCTAGTCATCTAGTTTTTGGTAGTGTTTCTCATAAATTAGGAAAGGAACTTGGATTGTTACACCAAGTAAATCATCTGTAGGCACAGTGTTCCTCTTTGCACATTATCATTAACACAATAAAAAAACGCTGTGAAGGCTGAAGCATTTTACAGATGAAAGGTTCGTGTACACAAGATCTAGCCTATAGTTTCACCAACAAACTACAGCACACAAAAATNTACAAAACCCATATACTATTTTTCAGCATAACAAAAAACAACAACAAAAAGAAAAAAAAAAAAAAAAAAAAAAAAAAAAGGAAAACGAAAAGATCAATGGTCATCTAATAACAAAAAGAAATTGAATGGTGTAGAGGACTATGCATCTCATTCTGAACTTAGATGACATGCGCAGAAATTTAGACTGGGCCAATCAGCCAAAATTGAGATTTCTACATATGTAGTTGGCTCTGGTTTCCATTTTTTCTATCTGCAAAGCCCATTGTAGCTCAAGAACTACCAAAATATAAACTTCAGACGGCTCTTGGGCCAGAAAAATTTAGTGTCATCTGCAGATGCTTATAGCTGGAAGGTGCCTAACTCAATATTGGAATGCTGAGAGAGCTTCACTTTTCTGTCCCCAACCCACTCGAGCCTGTAAGACAGGTCAAGATTGTGTATCAACAGCTTTAGCCTGTCCATTTCACTCGCAACTTTGTTGTTTCCCTGCAGCACAGAAGTGAAATGAAGTTTTATTTCAATTTGTAAATATCATAGAATTCGTTCAAGTAAAGCGTACTGGTAATTGGTCCAATAACTTCAAAATAGAGAACATAAACAATGAAACTAAAAGAAGTTATTGAAACCAAATTTTACATAACATATTAGACTGTTGATTTCTAGCATCTAACTTTATTGTGGTGCACAGTAAATGTTTAAAGGAGACTGATTTTTTTTTTACAACAACAATATAGCCTTTTAGTCCCAAGCAAGTTGGGGTCTGATTTTTTTTTTTTTTNGATTTTTATTTATTTATTTATTTATTTTTAATGCATCTGATTCGTGTTTTTATTTAACTTAGTTTCAAACACGACTATATCTGTTTCAAGTACTGGGTGATAAGGAATAATTATGACGAGAAATATGAGCAGTAAATCAAGAAGTTACCGGTGAATTGGCATGTTCATCGTCATGCAGCACAGTAGCCATAATGCTGGACCGAGTGGAAGTAGGTGAAAATCCTTCCCACGGGGGTACAAATATCACCTTGGTGCACTGAACAGGAACAAGATTTCGACTAAGTTTCTCCCACCACACAGAACCCAGTGACCACCATCTGATCATCAACCCGTATTCCGAAAAAGCAACTAGTCCCTGAAGGAAGAGTACATTGCAAGATGAATGTAAAATTATTAACTTTTGTCACATGATAGACAAAGTATCTTAAGAAGACTAATTTTAATATTACCCACACTAGGGAGGAGTGAAGGATAGGGTGGAGACACACACACACACAGAGACAGAGAAAGAAAGAGAGAGAGAGAGAGAGAGAGAGAGAGAGAGAGAGAATTTAGGCCCAACTTGTTCTCAAAGATAAATTTCAACCTAGTGGGGAAATTGAAATTATAAATTATCGTTTCTAAATTTCCATAAGTGTGTCGCTACAAGTACCCTGAGGACATAGGCAATACTATTCCCAGTGGATGTATGAGGAAGGTTCGAGCTAGGAGTCTGTGTAAAGGCAATATAACAAATATCTTGGTTTCTGAAATTCAATCTGACTAATTCAGTCATTTTCATAAACAGATTAACAATCCCATGAGACCCTGGGGTCGTAAATTTTGAAGAGGGGACAAAAACGATAAAGGACAGAAAAGTTAGTCAACAACCGTCAATGAAGCGTTGAAGTGACATTTGTCACTTCAACTGGACTAAAGAAACTACAATTTCTTGGCCATTGCTAAGAAAAAAGGATATAATAATTGTGCAGAAGTATTATTGTTTCAACGTGTGAAAAACCTTCGAAGAACCTTTAACTGATAACAATTAAGCTAAGAATTAAATTCTTCCTAAAGACACAACATGAACACCAAACTGCATGTAATATGAAAACACTGAATTGAGGAACCTATTTGCAAAGCTAATCGCTTAAAACTCACAACTCCTTCCAGCGAGTCCTAACATCACGATTTAGGAAAAATTTGATATTTGTACTTTCCAGAGTTCAAACAAAATGCAAATACTAGAGTCAGAGGGTGGCTTGATATAGTTAATGATAGGATCTTCAACTCGGAGAGTTCTATTAGATTTATATATTCGGGGGGAAGAGGTATGGTCCCACAGAGGTAAAGCGCACCTTATGAAGGCGGGCCTAGTTGCCACCTTAGTGAGTATCCATCCCAAAACCAATTGGTGATGGGATGGAGTAGATCACCAGAGCTTATAAGCTAGTCCATTTGCCTAACATAATCAATGTGGGACAATTCCCATATAATTCCAACAAGTTCAACACATGAACTCGCCATTCAGAGACAGGCAGATACAGATCACCACAAATTAAGGACCACAACAGAAATTAAATTATGTGAGTTTGTTACCTCTCCATCTGGTGAGAAACTTAAAGCAGATATTGCGGTGGTTATAGCCTTTTCTATGGTTCCTCCAAGTAAATTTGGAAGTCCAGGAGGTCCGCTGGCATCCAAGACCTTTACCTTGGTCATGCTGCAGTAAAAATGGCAACTAAACAGTGAGAACGCAAATAGAAGCAAGAAAGATGAATGGAAGCACACAAGTATAGAAACAATATAATTGTCTTTTGTTTAGCCATTCACCAACAGAGAAGATGCCTTCCAATGTAAAGAAATAACTGAATACTTATAGGCTATAGCAAATAACAAATGCTTTGGGAAACAGTTGGACCTGTGCGTCACATACAGTTAATAGAAGAAGTTCCTACTTCCTACATCAGCTTTTGGAACTAATCTTCAGTCTTGTAAAGTAAGGAAGTAGTCTCGTTTAGGTTCAAAAAATAGTTAACACAAAGGAATAGCAACGATGTTAACTTTTACTGATATTGATACCATTAACGTTGGTATGCCATGATAAAAATAACATAGCCAATTTCAGATCTGAGACAACAAAAACAATTTAAATAAAATTTACCTCACTTCACTCCAACTTTCTCTACTCAAATTGTGCTCAATACAAACTAATCACAACAGAAAATCAGAATAACTCCAATTTTACATGTATGTCGTAGTTGAATACCTTTGCATGTCATACACCCGAATAAAAGCATTATTAATCTCTCCAATTGCATCCCCAACTGCCAGTCGGGTTGATGCATCATTTAAAGCTATCATAGGAAACACACGTACAACTTCTTTCAGTGCTGTCATAGAACTTTGGAGACAATTTCTGCGCATGGTTAAATTACCGGGATCCATTGTCTGTAATATAAAAATGACCACCTGCAAACCTGTCTAGACGTTAGGATGACACAATTCACTGTGACTCACTCCTTTGAACAATGACCATATAGATTATCTTGGAAGTACTGAAGCATTAGCTGAACCTTAGAAACAAAATGTGGCGAGTAGTCAATCGGGACACTTGGTGAGAAGTATGATTTAATTCAAAACAAACAAAAAGATAACAGTACACATCATAAATTACAGATATATTTACTCTTTCTGGTTATCGTCTTCTCAGGAACAGGACAAAGTGACAGAGGAGAGAAAACTGAAAATTGGAGCACCACAAGAGCTCACATCTTAAGATCATCCAGCTCAGTAAACCAAGAAACTGCAACCCTTACCTTGTGTAATAACTCTCTTAGCAGATTTATCACTTTTTTAAACATGTATTCTGATATTCATAGGAAAAACTTGCTTTGTGGATATGGGACCCTATTCTTGAGATTTGGTTAAATGTCTGAATACTAATTGAATGATAACTTGTATATCATATATCCACAATCGAATTAGTTGACTATGGCACAGATCAGGTTTCATTTATCCTAAATTCATTTTCTTGAGAATGCAATTGTTTCAAGTCCTTCCTTCCAAGTAACAAATTTCTAAATCATAGACTAGTTACATACATCAGAACAGCTTTTCCTGCCTTCTATATATAACTATTCCATGCAGTTAAAATTTTTAAATTATTTATTCAGCGTATCATTGTTACTGGAATGTCATTCACAAGCAACTAATATAGGAATAATCTGTACTATATAAACAACCAGACCAAAGTCCAATGTACTTTTCTAGGAAGAAAATTCTAAAATATCTAAGATAGTAACTTACACATGATGTCAGCAAATTGTAACTGCAGCAAGCCTAGTGTATATAATTCTCGGAAGAAAATTTCAACAATACAAAGATTAGAAATCAAACATGATGGAAAATTATGTATATTGTTTCTACACACCTTATCGAGATATGGAGCTAAATTTCTTGGACAGCCACGAACAACCCTGATGAGAGTCATGAGTGCCACCACGTGAACTGGTGAATCAGAAGCGGTTGACCAGATTTGGCTTTCTATCACGTGTAGATATCCAGGTATGTCAGCCATTGCTAAACTCGGAAGTAGTATTCCAACTAAAGTATCCCGTATGCTAAGAGATGCAACCGGATTCTGGCCATATGCATTAACCGATGATTTACTACTGACACACTCCACTTGAAAGAATATGTCCCCTATCAAATGAGGTATTTCGGAAACAAGGCACGCCTTCCATGTGCTCTCCATACCTTCAGCTAAAATCTCAGCTGCTGCAGCACTATACTTGTCATTCATAGCCATTACCAATTTCACCAGTCGATGAACCACGACAGCCGGAAGTCTTCGTTTGGCAAGGCTAGGATAACAGACAGCTAATGCAGCACCAACAATTATTTGACAAGTCATTGCATCTTGAGTTGTTCCCCCAACACAGGAAATCCAGTCTTGCACTTCATATGATTCCAACCACGAAGTTATTTCAGAGTCTTCCTCGACAAACTCCCCTTGAGTTTCAATTTTTTCATCGGATGCGGGACATGTGGCTGTTGTATGGCCATGCTCTTCCTCCAATGTTCCATGTGAATATAAGTGACCATTTTCATAGCACAGTGGAACTGGAATAGCCCGCGAAGCAGCACAATGGAATAAAGAGCGAGCAGCCATTTTCACATGTTCAAACTCGTTCTGCCAAAAGCTTACTAGGATCTGTCGAAAAGGAAACCGATCGTTAAAATTCTGCTTCACAATAAGTTATGGGAGAGGGAGCATCTGATCCACACATGGTGAACGGTGCAGGTGACAGATGAGTCAAATGACTCAAGATGTTATAATATTCGTAGAGGTTTGACGAGTAAAACCTTAATAACTGTACTCACTACTCATAGAAGCACATACATAAATTTCTTAAGAGAATACGAAATGGAAGTGTTTCATGCTGTACAGATTGGTTAATCTCTCCCCCCTAGTTTGTAATTTACCTACGCCAGCCATAAGCATACAAAGCTACTAACTAATGAAAGAAGTAAATTATTATGAAATTTTATCAGGCAATAGATTTATTTCTTTATGTTAAGTGTATATGCTTTTGGAAAACAAAAGAGTGGTGTATGCAATTAACCTCAGCATAATGAACAATTTGTAAAAGTAATCTAGTGGAGATTTTCTTTTCACCAATTATTCTTCCTAGGAAGAGTGTCACGAGTTAATTGTTTATTCAGATGGCTCATAACGAATAATACAAGTAACTCAATTTGATGGACGTTGAGCTTCCAAGAAAAGGAAGACGAATAAATGAGAACAGCAATACAGTTGTTTATAATTATCAAGTTATATAAATGTGAACAACAAACAACTCACTTCTGACAATTATATTACCTGCAGCAGAGGAGGTTTTATATCTGAGATTTCCTCTGCAAATTTCCGCGTATAAAATGCTGCTAAAGTACTGCATTAAGAAACTTCACATCAATGACCCCGAAACTAGGAATTTATATGCATTTTGTGACTGAGAAGTTCAGCTAACTAGCAGCTCATTACAAGTCTGAACAACATTATTAAAGCAAGTTAATCACATAGTCTTGCAGGAAAAAATTTGTAATATATAATGCTTAAGAAACTAACTACAACCTACAACTATAGGATATAGCATACCACGAAAGGACAATAACAAACTGTGTAATACATTTATTGAGGTGGCAGTTATGTGGTGGGACATTATAACTAGCCATTAGGAAAAGATGACACCTTAAACAAGTGTATGATATTTTTCAGCAAAAGAAATATGAGATTGGAAGAAAAATGAGTCATAATCACTTTAAACATGTTTCTGTGGTATTGAAAAGGTCTTACCTACTTGCTGAAGAACAAGAGTGAGATACGCTGGTCAAATGCTGGGAAAGGGACACCATTGTTAATGATCTCAAGGCAGAATACTCAGATGAAGATCTCCATAACTGTAATGTTAACATCTAAATGTGTTCAGATACAAGTCAGAGACGAGCAATTACAATCAATTACACATTCACTAAAGTACCTCCAGAGTTGAACTAGAACCTGGAAATGTGATGGTCATTGAGCCCCTGTCCCCCAACATACCAGACGATACCACAAAAGAATCTGGCCGTTTGAGCTTCATTTCAGTTACTAGCAAGTTATCAAGCTCATTATCGATGTTCCACAAGTGCAGAAAAGACAAGCTGAATTGGAGAAGGCGTCCATCAAGGGAGTGGGCCCAGTCATTATGTTCCAATGTAACAACAGATGGCCCATCCAGAACAGAACCTTTTCCATTCACATTCTGAGGGCCAGGCAACTCCCCATCAGGTTCACCCAGAAGAGCATTTGCCCTCTGAGAAGCATCACCTTTAGGCCTGCTAGTTCCAGCTTCCTTCATGTGATGTTTCTCACCAATGTGGCTTTCGTTTTCAGACAATCCAGTCGATGAACTAAGTGACATCAAGCTATCTAGGTCAAAACACAATGTTGAGAGTCCTGGAAAAGGAGAAGAGCTTTTAATCGGGTGCATGCCACTTTGGAAGGACACTGATTTAGCAAAAATTCCTTTCATAGCATGTAATGATCCCATTGCTTTTGTATCAGTTTTACTTTCCGTTGATATTCCTGGAACGATACTCTTCCTAGAAAATGCAGAATTAGATTGAGGAAGCTTTGACTGTTCAGCAATTGGAAAAATTAAAGAGGAAGCCGAAGTATTTCCATTCACCAAAGTGCCAGACAAAGAACTTTCATTGATGGATTTAAGGAAATGATCGAACATTGAGTGAGCAGCAGCTCCACGAAGAACCCGCTCACGAGCACCCGTCTTTACATCCCAAATGTACAGAACATCGAGTGCATCAGCTTTTGATGAGCGGTGCGGACACAGACATGCTATATAGTTTCTTACACCATCCCACAGGACTTTTGTTGGAAAGTACATGTGTCCAGGAAACAATCTCTCGACCCTCATAGTTTGAAGTGAAACAAGGGCGATGCACGAATCATCTCCAACCGTCAAAAAACAATCACTCCATGGGTACTCACTATTAGATGGAGGAAGGATAATTTGGCGTACTGGAGCTACGTGTTGGTGCAACACCATTATGGGTCTACCAGAGTCAAGATCCCATACACGAACTGTACAGTCCATGCTACCTGACAGCAGAACTTGTCTTAAACTACCTTCTCCAGAACTAATCACCATCTGATGTGAAGCTAAACATAACACTGCTCCTCTGTGACCAGATAGATGCTGCTTTTGCCCTTGAGAATTGGCTTCGTGATGCGAATTCTGGACAAGTGAAGCAATTTCTGGAAAGAACATGTCAAACCTAACGATTTCAATATCACCACTGAAAAATCCATACACAATGGCATAAGGAGCAGGGTGGTTTTCTGATATAACCATTGAAGAAAGTACTAGTTGACCTCCTCGGTCAGTGACATATGTGACACCTGCTGATAAACCACTTTCTGATTGAGTCATTTTATCAGTCATAATTGTTCCTTCTTCAGGATTTCCATGTTCTAGGCCCTCATTTGTAGACGAAGACGAGCTCGTAGTCCAGCCAGAAAAAAGATCGCCTTGTCCAAACAGTTTACACTCTGAGTGGAGTTCCCCAAAATCTCCATTTTGCTCAGGCAAAAGCCAGACAGTAACACGAGGTCTCCAAAACTTATGTTCCTTGGCAGGCAAGCAAATTGATTCAACTCGAAGCAGATACTTACCTAATGATACGAAGGAGAAGGATAGTCTAACATCAGAAGGATGCAATACAGCTGGGATTAGTGATAGAGGATCAATCTTGAATATATTGCTCAAGTATGATATCTGGTATATAACGGCAGCACCGCTATTATTCCACGCTACAAATTCTTTTACAAACACATTGCTTGAGATACTGGTATTGTCTCCTAGGAATACGCCACCTACTATGTATAACTTGTCTCCAGAATATAGTTCATTTTCTGGAAACAATATCTTGCCAATAACATTTCCGTTCTCCACATGTCTAAATGTGCAATGTTTTCTATAAACAAGGCCCAAAACATACCCACAACTGGTAACAGCCACCAGAGATCCCCTATCTTTGGGCTCATCTACCCAGTCCATCACTTCTGAAATTGAGAAATCCTTCGGCACAACAGGCACATTTTGAAATCTCGGGCTAGATACCTTCATTATTGGTAAACTTAGCACTTTACCAAAAGCATCAATAATTAATACAGACTGCTTCTCGATGTCATCTGAAGGCAAAACTACGGCCATGGACTTCAAAGGTCCGATAGATACATTCCCATGAAGAACAGTTTGGACAATTGTAAGAGTAAATGAGTCAACGATTACAATTGTACATCTCAAAGGGTTAGGGTTTTCTGATTCTCTATCCACCAATAGCTCATCTGGTTCCACTGAATTAAGTAACTCGTGCTCTGGGCTAACAAAACAACAGGAAATACATACATATCTAGCATTGTTGGGCAATGACCTGATCATCACTGGACTCCCTGCCCAAGGAGGAAGTTTCCTTCTTCGTCTACAGTGTCCACTTTCTCTACTCCAAACGCATAATACACCATCAATGCAAGCACTTATTAGTGCACCACAGCTAATGGAATTAGGATTAGATAGCACATTACTTGAATTTGGAGATTTTCCATCTTCCGACGCCTCAAAGGGAAAGCAAGTCCCTAGATCAGCTATTGAAGCAGCATGACCACACAACATTGCAACTGGTTTCATTTCCTGATAAATAAGTACGTAATATATACAAAATAAAATAAAAACATTAAAGTTATCCAAGTAGATTGAAAGACACCTTATGTGTACATATATTAAGGTGACGGCCTCCTAGTAATAAATATAGAAAGAGATACTCCTTTGTAACATAACATGCCTCAATATAAAAAGAATACCCATCAATCTTAAATACGAGGATATCGAACTGAAGAACCGTGATTAATTATATTTCTTGACAATGGTTCTAACTTATGTGTAAGTGGTTATGACACATTTAAACATTTACAAAGAAAAAGTGAAAAGGAGAGAAAGAGAAAAAACAGGTATGGTGCACTAGCTCAAAACTTGTGGTGAAGAAAAGGAACTTAGTTCCTTCAGCATTCTATTTCTATTTAAGATATTATAATTTTGAGTAAGCCTTTCAGATTGTGAATAGTATTCTATTTTATTGACTTCAATCTCGACAAATTGACTTCAACTTTTCTGAAGTTCGTATGTAACTGTGTGCTTCATTGGGTCAGAATCATGCATGGTTTAGAAGTTACTCAAAGTCTTGTTTAGTTTGCAAGTGGATTCATGATTCATGCTATATGATGGAAGATTTCTGGTCGAGAATGACTTCCCCATGTTCGTCGTTCACCATACAGAAAACTGCATTTTAACCCTCGAATCCAACATTTTGAATGTAAATAAATGCCCAAACCATCCCAACTCTACCATCACTATTCCATCAGAAGCCACTGGCTAAAAATTCACCTACAATAGTACAACCTATCACTTCCAAATTGATCAAATTTAAAGGCAAAACAAGTGAAGTACTTACTAGTACATGAACAACCGAAATCCTGATGTTGGGTCCTATAACTGAAACAACATCTCGCTGAAGAGCAATACATGAGGATAAAAAATAACTACTATTATCTTTTGAAGGCCTAAATATATTGTATCCTGTATAGATGAAAACTTTAACCAGAAGATATAACAATAGTAGCTTTCCTCTCAACTAACTACACTTTTCCTGAGCATCACATTTAGAGCAAGTGATAGTTCGGGTGAGTCATGCTCCATTGTCGTAATGGTTTACAAATTGGATTACTGACAATATACTTAGCGAAGATCAATTAATTTTCTCGTTATAATATTACCAAAATCAATGATACAGATTTTGTCAATACATTATTCGGTAAGCCAGTTGGTAAACCAATATGGCAAAGTAGATTAACTCTTGTTTTGTTCAAATACACATAATTCAATAAGCAAAATATTCAACGGTGATAGAGTAAAATGGCTTAAGCTGCCACTAAATTATCCATGTTCCAAAAAGCCAGAAACACAACAATTAATCCAAAAACACAGCAGCATCTAAATGTCATTCAAATAGCATTCGAGTAAACAAAAACTGATTAGACGAGTTTATCCATCTGGAATTCGCATATAAATCATTACAAGTCACTTACTGAAACTCCCATTACCGTTTTTCCGGAAGAGATGATGAGTTTCCACCAGACAATGGAGCCATCGGATCCGCCGGTGTAAAGAGTGGGCGGTTGGTGGAGCGTTGCGACGGCGGTGACTCGGTGAACCGGTGGTGAGCCGGACCATATGCAGGCCAAGGATTTACACTTCATCGGTTATGAAAGATGTGGGCCGGACCAGAACGGCCGGTTGAGACCAGAAAGGTCTTTAATTGGGATCAACAGCAATTGGCCTTAGCTCATGTCCGGTGACAGTAATGTCTCTAAACGGAAGTTGATTTTAAACTCGAAATCTTAATGAAATCTTAATAATATTCATCTGTTGCAGCAAGTTTGATTTTATATGTGATGGATCAACCCTTAATATTAGTAAGGGGAAATAATACAGTGAATTTTTATTCACCGCCCGCCCTCTATTACTACTCACTGCTGCCAATTACTTAGAGCATCTTCAATGCTCAATGTTGGAGTGGTAAATTACATTCCACATCAACACATTTATTAATGTCACAAATTTTTTATTCTTCAATGTACAATGTGATTACAAATGTTGTGGTGATGTGAACATAATTAATGTATACAATGTAGAGAGAAATGTGGTTCATCCACATTCTCCCCACACTCTAGCTAGCCAATGAAGAGAAGAGAAAGAATTATTATTACCATTTTTAAACTATTTAATTATTTAATTAATTTTATTAATTTATATTAAAATTGTAATATTTGATAAGTAAATAATATTGTAATTAGACTACATTGTGCATTGGAGATAATTTTTTAATTTAATAGTTATGAATTCAACATTTGTCCTACATGGTTCACAATCTATTTAATATTTTGACATTTGTCAAAATTTATCCAATAACAACATTAGAGCATTGGAAATGCTTTCGCAAAGAAACTGATCTTTCAAAGCGGAGTTCCTGTCTTTCGATATGATACGTTATTGCCGATACCTATGGAAGAAGAATACCCCGCTAAATGGGTAGTTCCACGCTCTCTTAGCCCTTTCTATTTAGTTGATGACTGGAAAAAAAAGTAGTAAAATAAAAGTAGGGGCCACGTCCATAATAATCCGTTGACCAGGGCGCTTCGCTTCGAGAAAGTAGGAAAGAGTAGGCGCGATGATAATTGCCCTTAGCTATACTAATAAATAAGAGCTCTCCCCCGTCGAAACAACACCCTTTTTTTATTAAACTGAAATCCTTGAAAATGACAAGTCTGGAAGTGGACTTTGATATGAAATTTCATAAATGTATCGTCTTTAAAATCACCGTATATCTTAAAAAGTTCGAACAAAATCCAAATGACGAATGATATTTGTTTTAAATTTTTTTGAAAATCCAAATTAATTACACAACATTTTTTAAATCTCAGTCTTCAAAATTTCGGAACGAACACTCCCAAATCGGCAAATTTTCAAAATTTCCCAGCTAAGCTACAATAAGAGAACCACTAAATGTCCGGGATCCGGTTAGTCCTCGTTGGATTAATCAACATAGCTCATGAGAAATGACTCAATTCCGATATCTAATAACACGGCCGACAAGAATCCCAAGAAAGACCTGCAGCACTGTCAACAGAGGCTACACCTGCATCGTTTCTACACTGCCAATATTTACAGAGGCATTTCTGTTTAATGTTCCAAAAACTAACACCAAGACCATAAAACGAGTGGGACAAGTTAAATTGCAAGCTCAAAAACAGGCAGCATACCAACTTGTTGATGTACAAAAAGATTGATTCACCGAAAAAGACTCTACATTTCTATAGTCAGACAAGTCAAAAAAGCTGTAGCTACCCCATCCTATCTCAGCGCATTCCAGAAGGACGATTTACTCGATTAGTTTGATTCTGATTGATGAACCTGTTATAAGCTTCGGTATACGCCTGCCCAGTGAGGGCCCCACGCATCCTGCCAACAGGGGGCTCCCAGCTCTCATTATAGCCTTCGGTCGAAACCAATGGTGGGGATGATGTGGCCGCATAATTGCTACCAATGTCTGCCACTGGGGCAACCCGCAGATGATTAGGGTTTACGGAGTACGAGGGTACAGTTACCACTGGAGACTGTTGTTGCTGTAAGAAATTTGTAGCAGCAGATTGGCTTCTGCTCGTTTGGGGAATCCTGAGGTTTGCCATTTGATTTGTGACCGGGTGGCCCATCTGCTGTTGGGTAAACGTTCGATTTTCCTGTTCACAAAGAACCAAGAATAAAAACGAAACAAAGAGCGTGTTTGTATACAAATAAATCCATCAAATGAGNACAGTTGTATGGTTAGTTGTTACTTTTTAGTGGGATTTTAATTTTAAATTAAAATAATATTTAAAATAAAATAATTAAAGTTGATTTGATATAAAAGTAGGAAAGAGACGGTGTGAAGTGATGGTTAGTTAAAATTATCTGAGAGGATGAATAGTAAATTAAAATTGATGTGATGTGTAAGAATGATTGATTGGTATTATTTAATTGTATTGATAATATTGAAGATAGTGGAGTTGGGTGAAAGTTGAGTTAGATTTTGAGAATGAATTGAAAATGAATTGGGTTTTTTCATATAGGTTTTGAGTTGGGTAAATTAAAGTTGAGGTGAGGTCAAGAATGATTGGTTGGTATGATTTAATTATTTTGAGTATTATTTTTGAGTATGAATTGAAAATGAATTTTGTTTAAACCAAAAATAAAAATGAAAAACAATACGAAAAGGTTCCCAGCTCACCTGTGCACGCAACATTGGTGAGGACACCTGATGTGGACTTCCAACGGGAGATGAGCTGGCGAATACCAATGTTCGTGCAGACCTTTGCTGACGAACAGAACTCAACACTTGAGCGGGCAGGGCCTGGACAGCTGTCGGCACTCTCGTCACATTCCTCGGCAACCAAGGCATCCTACCATACTCGGCTGTGAAATTTGAGTTCCCAAATTGATACTGCTGCAACGGCATTTCCCTCGGCGTGGTGGGTCCCACTTGCGGCATGGAAGTGGTAAAAAGGGCAGAATTGTTATCGCTGAAATTAGTAACTTGCGCACTCGTAGTTAAAACGGGATTGGAGTTGGGAAACTGGCTGCCGTTCTGTATATTTGATGGGATGTTCTGCTGGTCCAAGGTGGACAAGAAAACATCGGTCCAAAAGGTGTCACCTGCTTGAGAATCATTTCTCTCGTTGACATTACTCGTGTTTGCAGTATGAGATTCAATCAAGATGGCTGGGGGGGCAATGGACTGATTTTGAGCGGCATTTAGGGAGGGTTTCGTGTCTTCAGTTTCATTAGTGGCAATACAGTCCATATAGTCATCTGTCTGAGTGAGATCCACTGCATTAATGGAGTGCGTGGGTTGGAATTCCATTGTGTCCAAGTTCGTATCCTCAGGCTTCTGCGCGGCATCCTCGCTGTTCATGACAGGATCCCATGATCCATCAGGGGATATGGTTATGTGTGAGACGTCTGACTCAGCCTCTTTCAAGACCTGAAAAAAAAAATGAGTAAACATCAAGAGAATTGTAGTGACATTGGCAATATACATGACCTGCAAAAACTTGAGTTAAACCCATGACTCTTTCAGTTTTTTAAGTATTAATTCTTCTAGATTCTCTTATAGGGTGTGTTCACTCCATACTTTTCTAGTTCTTTTAGGTATTTCACAGTTTTGAGCCTTTTAGTTCTCATTTTGCAGTTTTTCTGACTGTTTTCTGGTTTTTAATTGTGTTAGTTTTTCATGAGTTTTCTACTTCTTGATTTTCTTTTTAATTTTGAGATTAAAATTTGGAAGACCTGACATCATCAGCCTGTTCAACAAGAGTGTGCCTCAATAAGACTTACAGCTCCAACGACAATTTGCATCTAAAGGCTAAAGTATGCTACTTGCCTTGACCAGTTTTCGATCAATGCGAAGATCAGTAAAGCAGACATGCTGATTACAATGCGGGCAGCGCCAAGAAGGCCGTCTTGAATTTATGCCCACATAGTTGTCAAAATCAAAGCACTGGAATAAAGGACATGTAAGATGTCAATTTTAGATCAGGAACTAGAAGAAATGCTATCTGGTTTGGAGTTGCTCCTGATAGCATGAATTTTTTTGAATAAATTAAATAACCCACATGACGGTTCAAACAGAAGGAATTTTTTACTTTTAGCATCAACTATCATAACATAATTATAATCACCTGCATATGCTTGCAGGAATGTCCTTTGACAGGAGTTTTAATCCGTGTGAAGCTGTTCGAGGTTAAAAATTGCAAACATATGAGCAGGGAATTCAGTTGCAACGTGAATTCAAATGTGCGGAATGATGATACATCAAGTTAATGAATGTGTCCAAAGATTTGAGAAACAAGCAGATTAACAGGCATTGACCTAGACATTAAGATTTAAGAGTGATATTGACAAAGTAAATTCCAGAAATGATAACCATCTTTTGAAGCTTCAGACTACTATGCTTTCCAGTGCTGCGAGAGTTATATGCTCAGATCAATTCATCCGATGCATCAAGTAGAAGCATATTGAACATTTAAAAGAAAAAAAAAAAAAATGTGTCCAGTGTTCCAAAATCATGATATAAGGTTTTTCGAGTTTCCTGTTGGTGAATGCTAGAAGGGTAGAATCGTGTTAAACAAATAAGAAAGGCAACCTGATTGGGCAATTTAGTGATATCCGTGATGGGCCCTCAACTATTTCAGAATCTACAGAAAATAAAAATGTTAGTAAATAGATGACATTATACAAAGCAGTTGGGCATCAGATTTAGTAATAATAATCATATACAAAATGAATGTAAAAAATCATCAGCTATCAAGGAAAAGAAATTACTAAGAGAAAAATCAACATTCTGATAGAAAATAGCAAATAATGTAAGAAAAAAAATATTCCAATAGCCACCTGAATCTACAGTAGGTGAAGCCTGCTGCTCATAATCTTGAAGGACACTACTATCAGGATTTGGCTGCTCACTCATGATAGCAACTCCTATAATATAGTTTCCTTCCAAATGATCAAATATAGACAGTAAGCCACTTCAGAATATTCAAAATTATAAACTGTAGGACAGATGAGAAACTTGAGAGTTAAACATACCAGTAAAGTCACCCACTGCCTGAAACAGATTTGGCCCATATTTCAGCAGTTTTGTTACTGCAGTTGGAATCTGTGGTCCATTATCCTAGCAGAGCAAAAGTATCATTCAAGTAAAAACAATCACATAAAACACTAGTTCCAAATGAAAGTCTTCTACAACTTAATCAACTAACCACGAAAAGACAAGTCCTCCTCTCCACTCCCTTCCCATTCAGGAAAAAGCTGCAAGGGTAAATACAAGGAAAAGCATTAAGTCATCAGAAATTCTGAATGGACATGAAAACTGATAAAGATAACGTTATCCTCTGTATATTATGATTAGAGGAGAAGAGGGGGTATTAGTGCTTACTTTACTTTAGCTGGACTCACGAGGCACGATGATGTCTCAATATTATCGGTTTGCACAACAAATAACATCTGCAGGTAAAATGAATGATGAGATAGATTATCACTCTGCATCTGTCTCTTTGACAATCTTAAAACATAGACAAGTCACTGAAACACTACTGGAGTTCCAAACTAGATTCAATAACGGATTTATATTAGTTGCACTGTAAATACTCCATCTCCTTGTAGAGGTTCATGAGATGGCAGTACTCATACAAAGAAAAACATCAAAAGTTGGTCTATCGTATAAATGATATCAGGGTCAAGTCTAGTAGGTAAAGGATCCACATCATGCCATGCAGGAGCAAAGCATGGATAAATAGACCTTATGATTGTGAACCTTAAAAAGCAAGAACCATGAATAGTCAAATCGTCTAGGCATTATGGTAATGCAAGGTAAATGATACTTAAATTATCTACCACGATTTCAGTTTCACAAGTATAACCGCTACAAGAACAAGAGCCTTTTCTCATGATCTACTGTCAATATAAAGATACACGTGTGTGTGGGAAGCTGTATAAAAGCAGAGCCGTTAAAGAAAAGTTAAACTAAAATACACACATTTAGCAACAGTTAGCAAATCACACAAGTTGAAACTGATAGTTAGGATAGGAACAACTTACTATTTTGTCACCTGGAGAAGTCTTTTTTAAATTCTTTGGAATTTGGAAGTCAGACAGATAAGCCTCAAATCCTGGCTAAAGTTCCACAAAATTGGACCAACACCATCAGCAGTCAAAATAAAATGGGATCATAACAGGAGCTGGAAACGGAGGGGTATAACTACCTTGACTTCTAGAGAAACAAACACATGACCCATTTTCAATTTTGGGTAGAACCTGTATGCATAAATATAGACAAAATATTCTCAATTGCAAGTATCAAAAGCGACTTTAACCTATTTACAAATGGTGTCATCGATAAAGAGGAAAAATAAATGATAAACATCAGCTGGTGAATATGATTTGGTAATATCCAATTGTTGTTCCAGATCAACCAGAGTCGGCACTTCATTGGAAGTTATTATGAAACATACATAATACAAAATGAGAAAGATGCAATACACCTGCACCACACACACACACACACACACACACACACATATATAGGTATAACAATGTAAATTGATGCAAGAATATAAGCTTCCATGCAACATGTTACACATAACAGTAGCAAACAATAAACAAAATTTACTCTCCCTCCAGCTTCAATAACATTAAGAAATATACAATAAACAACTCACACTAACATGTGAAGTTATCCTTTAAAAACGTTAGCAAGTAACTAAGCCTTGTGATTCAAAAGACCACAGCATTTAGACTACAGTCGCTGGATATGTATTATTTAAGTATCTGATTCACCTGGGAATTTATTTTGCTTTCTTGCTACTGGCATGCTCTAAGAAAAGATAAGTGATTTCAGGATCGAAAAGATAAGTGATTCCAAATAAAAGCTTTTAAACTATTAACTAAGAAAAAGGCAATTATGATCCAAAGCAATTAAGGAAAGAAAAAGATTATAAAATCTCCTTTGCTTTAAACATCAACATATACAAACAGCAGGAAATTAAATGACAGAAAATTCTTCTTAGTACTTCTGGTTACTTCAAAGGTTTTCTTCATCACATTAAAAAGAGATAGAAGTATAATTTACCACATAGTTGCTACCATAATATTTCTACCTAATGGATTTTCCTTACTAGTTTCATTTTAAACCCGTGTCCTAACAGTGATATGAGGATGAGTTTAACAATCAACTACGACGTTAAACATAAGACCTAATATAAGAGACCACAGACCCATTTCACTGTAGCATCATCCTTGACTGCAATTATCATCACCATTAACGCACTACCAGAACTTCGATGAGTAATTTCAGCATTCAATGGGTATTCATGAATCATCTCATTTTTCAATTATTCAACCATTTCCTTTTCCCAAGTTCAATGTTAGCCGGATTAGTCAACATTTATATGTTTCAATGCAACAACAATATATTATTTGTAACAAGTAGGTTTGTTGATTGAGACCCGATTATCATCACCATGAATACATGAAAAAGATATCCAAGATACATGCTACCCTCTCAACCAAGGAAATAATTAACTAACCAACCAAAAGACAGTGTCAGGACATGAGATATCCACATTTAAGCCTTATGGGAAGTGATGCATGATTTGAGAGTTATGCAATGACGGAGTAATGAGGAATTGCACAGTACTACACCTTGACATGACAGTTGAGATAACAGAATGGGAACAGCTTGGCTCTGAGGATAGAGTTGACGCACTACCAAAATTGTCCGCCATCTGTATATGCAGAGTGATCAATAATCAAAGAACACTTGATGTACTGCATCTCATTTAAAACAGAAATCGTAATTTCAGAATAATAGAATTTATGAATCGACCTGTTTTGCTAGATTTTGGAGCTCTTCTGAATCTTTATCTGGAAACCATCCTCTTTGACAAGCACTCTAGCATACCATTCAGAGTTTCAGAAAAAGGCGAGAGAAAGAGGTAAAGATTAACTATATACAACTTCACGCCAATGAATGGTTCCATTATATGAAGAAAACAGGAGCACTCCAAGAAACTTTACAGGCTAGAAGGGGGGGGGGGGGNGGGGGGGGGGGGGAGCAACAGCTCCCACCACCATAATTTAAATGTGGAACGCAAAATTTGTACAGTGAAATACTTCAGGATCCCAATCTACCACTTAACAAACATTAATACTTTCATAAAGAATGAATATGCCAAGAAGAACAAACTTGCACCATAAATTTCCAGGTTGTCACATTGCAAACGGACAAACTAGGTAGGACCATATGCAAATGCTGTTAACATAAGCCACCACATTAAGTTCTTGGCATTTATAGCTTTCATAAACTAAATCATTAACCTAGCCTTGGTTACTTAGGAAGCAAAAATTAACCATATGCTAATGGGACAAGCCACAGAAAGCGTTGCAGTTTATAAATATACATGGTCAATAAAAAACAAGAATCTTCCACATAGTAAGTACTAAGTACTTTGTCAGGGAGTTGGGATGTTCAACTAAATAAATTACTTAAAAAACACCAGCATTTATTAGCATCCAGAGTGGAAATTGAATACGAACATCCTCCGGTCAGATAGCATTGTAGTTGATAAATATATATGATTAACATTTGTTCACATGGTAAATACTATGTACTAAATCTTGCTCAACTATGTTCACATAGTACATTGTTCTAATCTGCAGGCTCACTAAATCTTGCTAAAAAAATCAACAGATATCAACAGAACAGCACAAAACGATTGCTGGTTGACGGACTTACCTTAACAGATATCATGAAAACCATAATAGCTCCAGTGAAAGTACTATTTTTACACTGGCACACCTACAAAAGAAATGATTACTGAATGCAGAACTGAATTATAAATGCCACAGATCATTATTTTCTAACACATCAACAAGTAAAACAAAATCTTAGCCTCTTAGGTGCCAAGACTAGCAAAGCGTGAACATTGAAATGCCAAAAATGGCAACACGATAGCATAAATTTTTACAGCCTTTCGGATTAACCAACAAAGTCGGACCACCATAAATTTTACTGAAAAAAGAACAAAGCATACTATCCATTGTCATTACAATGGTGATATGAATGGCATCATCAGTAAGAGACAAGCAGAATGTTTGTGGTGATCACTAAATGAAATAAGCAAACCAATTTATCAGTCATAAAGATACAATTTCAAATTAATTGGAAGTAAGATTAACTACTAGACACCTTACAAATAATAAAAGTGGAAAACAGATGCCAAATATATCTAATACCCAGTTAAGCACCTATATAAACTTGACATTTGTTGAAGACAATTAGAATTGTTAATCACACACACACACACATACTCACATATTATTGCAGGAAAACAGTCTAATTGCATAAAAACCATTATCTTTAAGTCAAAAATCATCTTTTCTTTGCAAAATTAAGTGGTCGAACACATTCAGTAAAGAAGTAGAGTTAAAGTAAGGAGCTGATGGTTTTTTTCCCATTTTTCTGATTGCCTGGAAGACCATGGCCCATAGCTAATTTCAGGAAAACTTATTCCTCAATTGGCCACCACACCCAACTTTTCAATGCTAACTATTACGAGAATCACACAACACCATTCCTAAATCCTAGAACGTGAATTACCTGATCCTTGGAGACCTAAAACTCAAAACAGAATCTTACAACCCTTATCTTTTACCAAATAAAGAGCTTACACGGGTTTCTAAAATTTCAAAGTGATGATACAAAACTCTGAAAACTAAAACAAGGATCAGCGTATAAAATATCACCTGCTTTGCTAGTGAAGGCAACTCTTGAGCTCTACTTGGCAACTCATGATGAGCAATGGCTACATCGATACCTCTGTGTTATCCAGTTATGGGGGGCAGAGATACGGGGAGGAAAGTAAAAAGATAAATCAGAATATCAGATTAAATGCATTGAGTTGTACAGATGGATAAATAACTTCTACATTTGACTATGCTTTAGTTAGAGAATATAACAAAAGAATAAAACCAAGGGAATGTGTTTGAACACCAAAAAAGGGGCATATATGTTATCACCATTAACATATAACTTTCAAGGTCAATCATAACAAAATAATGCGATAAATAATGTGGTTGCTCTTGCTGAAGACTCTTTATAAACTGAAATGAGTCATTCACCGTCCGAGCGCCAGAGCATAAGGTGGGTTATCAGTATGCTTTCTCATGTACAATTAATGATTTTTAAGAATTAACGAGATTAGTAACTACTAAAGAAAACGAGAGAGACAGAGAAAGAAGAAATGTAAAAACTAATAAAAGAAATATCTGGATTCTGGAAGCTGAGATGATGCAATCATAATATGATCCACCAGTGGTAAGATGTAAGAAAATCAATGTACATAAGAATTAATAACCAAAAGGCTGAATGTATCTCATCCTAGTCTGGCCTCATCAAAGAATTAAAATTGGGATCCCTAGTAAGATAATATCCGAATCCTAACTTCAGTCTTTCAGCAATGTAAGATAATTCCAAATAATCATAAAATATGGAGAAAGCTAATGAAGATCTCTACAGGTTTAGGATACACCAGTCAGAGTAAGTTACTCGATAAAACGGCAACATAATGTAGGAAGGTGAAGCAACGGAATAGCCGATGCAGGAATGGCTGTAGCCCACTATAAATACGGGCTTAAACAGAGGCTGTCGCGCAATAAACACAGAAACCAAAACCAACGAGCAGAAAAGCCAAGACATGAATACATGAAAACATCCTTTGTCAAAAACCATAAAGCAAATCATATTACACGCGTACACCTAATCATCGATTGGAAGATGAAAAAGAAAAATAAAAGGTTCAACAGTATTCATATATCAACTCATCTAAACAGCACAAGGGAAACTTTATCCGGAGAAAGTACCTAGCCAGTGAAAGACAGAGGTTGAAGAACTCCTGGGCCTCGTCGTTCTGACGCTGGCCGCGCACATGAAGGTTTAAACGATCGATTGATACTGAAATGCGGAAATCGTTCAACTCCGACGGATTTAAGTCGTTGTTCAGGGCCCCGACGCCGCAGTCCCCACCGCCGGACGGGACTAACCCGGGCAGCGGCGCTTGCGTCACCGCCGTGCCAGCCATCGTCCTCTCACTGTCAGTCTGTCTATATACCCTTTTCTCCTTTATCCGATGTGGTGGGTGGGCCTTTCGAAGGAAAGCAAGCGCATTTTACCCCAACCTCTATTAAATACTCACTCCTATTTTTCGTTCATTTTTTTCAGTTGTATTGCAAAATCATTTCATAAGATAAAGTTAATAAAATTATTAAACTATTCTATGATTAAANTGCTGTCAAAAAAAAAAAAAAAATTATATCAATTAAAATAAATAATACTGTGGCACAAAATCTCCTCTATATAATTTCAGAATGCGCTGAGCTCATGTTTCGAAATTCTATTTGGCAAAAAATCATGCTTTAGAGTTAGGCTTGAATATAAATTAATACTTATATTAATTGTATTTTAATATCATTTCCTATTATAATCATTAAATTACAAATATATTTTAATATAACACGTATAAGTCGCACAAGTAACATGTGTCATACTAAAATATATAATAATATATAATCCCTCCTATTTTTATTATTTGTCGCTTTGGCTTAATTATTCATTGATAAAATAAATGTCGTTTTAGATATTTTGTTATCTATGACTAGATACAAAACAGTAATATATATCCTTATAGATAAAATTTAAATTTATTTATCAAACTAATAAATTATATCAAATAAACTATAAATTATATTATAAAGTAATAGAAATTAGTATGTATTCGATTAAAAATGATATTTATTTCAAACTTAATTGATATGTTGTCAATGTAATAAAAATAAATAATTATTATATAAATTCTAAAATTACATATAAAGTTAAAAAATTGTGACTAATACGACACTTGATGTATTAGGCATCTAATTAAGTAAAAAAAATTAATCTATTTTGCTTAATATTAAATAAACATATTATACACTTATGCATATACATATCACCATAATATTTCTATTTACTTAAGATATATATTTTTTTACTTATGTAATAGTAAATAATATCGATATTTTTATATAAAAAAAAAATAACACGGGTTGACATTTTCATTTAATGTACGGGTGTTTAATTATTATGATTAAAAAATATAATTTTGACAATTTAATTAAAACTTAAAGTAATGTTTTATATAAAATTAAATTATTTTGGTTTTTAAAAAAATAAAAAATTAAATAGTTTTTATTTAATGTTCCATATTAGGGAATGGTTAAGGTGCCTTTTCTTCTTGCAGTCGCCCTTACGTTGACAGTACAAAATTAAAGAATGGCGTTGAAAGGGCTTATGACCATATTGGTGAATCGTCAATTTTGAGGAAAAAGGAAAAAGGTAAGATGCTATATATCATGAATGATGCATTTTATTTATTTTCTAAAGAATTAATAGAATTGAGGAAAAGGGAGAAAGGTCAGATGCTATATATCATGAATGATGCATTTTATTTATTTTTTAAAGAATTAATAGAATATATATGTGTAAAAATCTGCACCAAAAATTATTGTTCTTTTGGATTTATCAATCACAATTGACAATTGTTGCATTCATCAAATCGTGTGGCAACCAAGAGAATACATTGCAATATTTAATTTATAAAATCGTAAAAAATAGTGCATTATCTTATGATGCCACTGCCTACTTGTAAGTAGAACAATTCGGTTCTACAAATTTTTTGCGAATTTATTGGGCGATACGAACTTTTTTTTTTTTTGAAACGATAAGAATTTTCAACAGGAGAATCGACACCTAAAAACACTAAAAAAATCCAATAAACACAAACAAAAAACACAAAACTCTAACAAAACAGAGCAACACAAACAACAATAAAAACGAACACTCTAAGCTAACAATGGACCTCCCCTCCAGAAAGGAGCCACCAGCACCCTACGAATCGAGCCAACCCCAACGCAACCTACCGAGAAAAAGTTCACGAAACACGACCCAACACAATGGGACTCGAAACTCCCCTAATGGGCTAACAAGACCCGGACCAATGATATCGACAACGTCCCCCAGTATCCGCATAGACCACCCTAGGCCGGTCCACACCACAACTTCCCCCCACGCATACTCCGAAGCCACCATACAGATACAGAGCCGTCACCGGAGGAACCAAAATACCAACACCAGGGAATTTTAGAAATAGGGGAAAACCAAGGCACAGACCACCGCCCCGACCGTCGCAAAGCCGACCGTGACGTCCGCCAGAACGCAAACACCGGCACTGTCCACCCACCTTTGCCCGCCATGGCAAACAGGGCAAGTTTGACGACCACGCAGGGAAGGGGAGCAGAGAGCCACCAGTGTCGCGATGCCAGTCCCAGGACGGTCTAAGAGCTCACCGGAAACACGAGGTGTTAGGGCCACCTCCAGAGCAACACCCCACAACAACCACGACGGAATCCTAACACAACCACCCGAGAGCCGCAAAGCACCACAGGAAACGCCCAACCCTAACCCTCAAAATTGAAAACTCCGAAGGCGCACCATCGACTAATCAATGTGAAGATCCGACTCAGACGAGCACTGCCACCACAGGCCCGGAAGCCCACCACCTTCTCTCACTCAGCCCGAGAACTCATTCAAGTACTTATACCGAGCCCAGTCATATGTTTATACCAGAGCCCAATTATCTGCTTTTATGGGTCTGTGGTCATTTGACCAAATTCTACAACTAACATACGAACTTCGATTTATAATTTGTACATAGTTGAACTGAGTATAATTAAGAAAAAAATTACTTCACCCAACAACTTTTTTTTTTATTCCCAACTGTAAAATTTATTTTTGGCAAGATTGCAAGAGTTCTAAAATAACAACTTGATGATTTTCTTGCCTGCAAAGGAATTAAAAGGAAATACTAATTCTCTCTCTTCTATTTATTTATGTATAGATAGATACTATATTATTTCGTTTGGTAATTATATATACATCTTTCTTTCTATAATACATGTTTATTTTGTAGGAATGACGGCACATCATTGGAAACAAGAAGCTGATCGTGATCGATGGATTTTGTATTTCCATATTGAAGATTATGTCCAAGACATATGAAACTTTGCAAGGAAGGAAATTGTCTCGAAAACGAAATGAGGAACTTAGAGAAGACTCATTCCCTTGTGAAGGTTGTATATAAGCCTACACGAAAACTTAATTGAAAGTTGCTGCAATTATCTAGACCATCAAATTCATAAACTTCATTGAGTTTTTGTGAGTGTTTGTTATTATTTTTATTTGGTCAGTGATTCAGTGTTCTTACACAATTGAAAATTGAGTTTGTTATTTTATTTACACATTTTCAGTGTTTAGGAATTAAGTACTTGTTTAGCTAAGAGTGATTCGTAGCTATTTCGAAGTCCACGTATTGTGGCCGGAGAAGTAGTTAATAGAGTCGGTTATATTTTTCGTTAGACTAGGAGGGAGTCCGAGTCGTGTAAGTCCAAGTTGTACTTCGTGCAAGCAAACCAATCTATTAATAAAAGAGCTCTGAGAGATAGTGGAACACTCCACAAAGAGATTTTTAAGTTTATTTGCTTCCGCATTTAATTTCAGTGTTTGAACATACATTTCCCCCACCTACGTTTCAATACCAACTATACTACACATTATTTTTTATTCCAAGTTTGCCTTTTTCGTTCCTATTTTATGTGGATAGATATTTTATATTCTCAAACTAATAAAACGTTTTTTTTGTTTGAATTAGGTAACTTCCTAAATCTATATATATTGAAAGGGATTGATGAAATAATCTAAAATAGTAATTTTGACTTTGTAATTAAATATGTTACTTACTATTTGTTGACGCAAATTGTATTTTATTACCGAGTACATAATGAATTCCGACCTCTGGTCGATCTCTCGAGGAATGCGGTTTGGAATCTAAAATTAGTGTCGATCGCAAACGAAAAGAAAATAATTCCTAAACACTCTAGTCATGATTAATTTGATAAATTAATTAAAACTAACTAAAACTAGAAAACCAAATATATCACGACTAGAGAATATGAAGAAATTCTAGGGTACGGTAAATCTCATCATGTCCTAAACGTATGTTGAACACTTATTTGTTCAGTTTTATTTTCAATAACTTTTCGTAACAAGAGCACATACATAAACAACAAACTCATTCAATCAAATAACACATAGACAATACTTTTACGAACAAGTCTACCCTATGCAAGTCGTGGTCGAACAATTCATCCCCTTTCGGTTTTTAGACTATTTAAGTGAACTTGATGGTGATCAATTGGTTAATTATATTATTCAATCAACGTGCACAAGTTGAACGATACATATTCAAAATAATTCGGGACAAGAATCGAAAACCCTAGCCCTAGGTGAATGAATTATCTCATACTTGGATCGAATTTCATTTTAAGTAGAATCAACAATCAAATAATTTTTTTCTCCAACGGCAAACTTAAAAATAAAATTAACTCAAACGAACAGTACACACGAATAACCAACTGGCTAAAACGCTCCCATCTTTTATAAACATGCAAAAGATGGTAACCAACGGGGATTTGAACATCAAACCCCCTACAAAGCCCTTTCGACTAACAAGATAAAAAACTATTAAGTATTAACAGTACAATCCAACACAAAATTACAACTAATAACAATAGAAATCAACACACCTATTCTCTATATATAAATGCAGAATGTCCCCATCATACAAGTTGTCATAAACTACATATTAAATTTAGGAAGGGACAAAATATATATTTATTTAATAGTTGCGAAAATGGATTTATTCTCTAAAAAATCTCTTTTCTTACATATAAGAAAAAGTGTGAGCTGCTCTAGGCTTGACACATGTAGATTTTTAGTTGACCAAAATGCCCTTGGAAATAAAGGGACAAAATCTCTTTCCGAAAAAAATGCCGCCCACTGCTTCTTCAAAAGAACAAAATAAAGTGCTGCTCCTTGGAAATTAAATCAAGCTTCGGACTAAAATCTGAAAAGCCTTGCTCCAATGATCAATTGTGTGCTGCTAGATTTTGTCCTACTTTCTCCACGCCTGAGCTATTTCTTTTATTTATTTTTTTTTTTTGAAGAGCAAAAATATTGCTTCCACCAATATGTTCCGCAACCCCACGTTTGTTTTCCCCAGTCTTCTTTGGTCTCTTTTT